GCCGATGCCTCCGTCGCCTGGCTGGAGTGGCCGCGGGGGAGTCTGGAGTCGGGCGGCCGCTGGTGGGAGCCGCGGGTGCCCGGGCCGAGATTGGGGGGGCAAGGCGGGCGACAGAAGGCCGATGCCTCCGTCGCCCGGCCCTCTACAGAATCCACCCCCCAAACCTCCAGGTATTTCCCTCCTTAGAGCTGGCAACCCTACATTCCCCTCAGTGCCTGTTGGTAGGCAACTAAGCTTGGTCCTGTCACCTACTTTGGCCTTTGGGAGAAAACACATTGGGGCCAATCCTGATAGGGTTGCCAACTCCAGATGGGAAATTCCTGGAGATTTGAGGGATGGAGCCTGAAGAGGGTGAGGTTTGAGGAGGGGTGGGACCTCAGACAGGTACACTGCCATAGACTCCACCCTCCAAACCAGTCAGTCTCACATAGGGAACCATTGTTGCCAATCTCCAGGTGAGGGCTGGAGAGCACTCAGTATTACAACTGCTCTGCAGAAGGGAGGGCAGAAGTCAGCTGAAGTCAAAGGGGCAGATAATGGTAGGTTGGTGGCTAGCTGGGAAGGAGATGGGGTTGCCAACTACATGCTGACAAATTCCTGGGGATTTGAGGGGTGGAGCCTGGAGAGGGTGGGGTTTGCAGAGGGGTGGGACCTCAGACAGGTAGAATGCCATAGACTCCACCCTCCAAACCAGCCATTTTGTCCTGGGTAACAATTGTTGCCAATCTCCAGGTGAGGGCTACAGATTACTCACAATTACAACTGCTCTTCAGGTAGCAGAGATCAGTTCCTCTGGAGAAAACAGTGGACTCTGTCATTATACCCTGCTGAGGTCACCACAGCAAATTGACACTGTTTGCCCAAAGCCAGAGCACTGCCCCAGAGCCTCTTTCTAGATCCCGTTGTATTGCTTTCACAACGGGCTTTACTGCTAGTTGGTTTATAAAAGCCTTTAGTGATACAGGTAGGGGAGGGGAGCAGAGGGCATTGTTTACAGATGAGGGCCAGCCTGTCACTAAATTCTGAGGAGACAGAAAACACACACATACACTCTGCAGTGGGAAACTCCCACTGTGGACACACCGTTTTCATTGGTCACTTCCAAAAACAAAGCCAAATTAGAGGAAGGAACTAATTGCTATTGCAGAAGACAAATGCCAACAAATATGTGGACGTGAGTCTAATACCTAGAAAATGTCAGCGAAGGAACTGACTGTACAGAAGCCTTTTAAAATCTATAGTAACAAAATAAGGCCGTAAGTACAAAATGTAACAGAACATCATGACCAACAAGAAGAAGCGTTTTTAATAAGAGATTGCTGCCCTGTAAGATTATTAGAGTCACAAGGTAATGGATTTAAAGACAAGCATTCAGATGAAGTACAGGACCATTAATTCCAAAGGCCATTTACCCCTCCTAAATGACTCCCTCACTGAGGCCGAGTGCCATTCTAAAAGCAGAACATTAAATTTTTCCGTGCACTCAGGTTTTTCCTCCTGTTGTAAGGAGAATAAAAATCCTGCAATTGTTTAAACTTGAGACCCCAGCACAATACAAAAAGAGGTATGCCTTCCAGCCCCTCCCCCCAGCCCCCTTTTACCAGGATTAGTGACATATGCAGAGGATTGATAGTGGCAATTACAAGTTATGGCTTGATTAGGAAAAAAAGTGAAAACGAATGGATCCCTGATCAAACACCACCACGTTGACTTGTGGCTCTTTCGTGAGGCTTTTTATTTGGTTGTTTGTTTGATTATTTATATACCACCCTCCCCCCAATGGGGCTCAGGGCAGTTAAAAACAAATTATACATACAATTCTAATAAATACTATCTATCTATCTAAAAAATTCCGACCTCCCTACGAACAGGCTCAGGGCGGATCACAATTTGCACTTAGGCCATCCAACATTACAACAAAGGCCCCAGTCACATGGGCCGGATATCGCGGGAGGGAGGTGTGGCTGTTTGCCTCGGAGCGAACTACCATGCGGCAGCCGGATCAAACGTCCCGCCCGACGTCCCGTCGTTGGGGGGAGGTGCCGATCATACCTCACTCCTGCGGTGCGGCAAAGAAGCGGCACTGCGGGGGTTGTGTTGTTTTTTTTAACCCAAGTGTTTGCATGCGCCGTCAGGTGCTTGTGGGCACCCGTGGAGACTTGACAAAAAAAAGTTTTCGCGACAGGACATGGGCAGGTGCCGGATGCCACTGTTCCCTCTAAGCTGAGTTAGTGTGAGCTAGCTCACAGTTTTTTAGCCTCTGGCTCACACATTTTTGTCTTAGCTCAGGAAACATGGCTCTAGAGCAAGCTAATTTATGCAGCAGGCAAATCGCTCGCTCACAACTTTAATGCCAGTAGCTCACAAAGTAGAATTTTTGCTCACAAGACTCCACAGCTTAGAGGAAACATTGCCGGATGCCACGAGCTAACACCGGAAACGTGATCTGACGCCCACCCTAGCCCCACTGTTTCCGGAAACTAGTACCTCAGAGGTACTAGTTTTTTACAGCGCATCTTCGGAGTGACGCCTCGGGTGAGCCACGGGAGCTCTACGCTTCCCAGATGTGGCGGTGAGATCGCGCCCGGAAAATCCGCCTATCTTCCGTCTCTCTAGCGTGCCTAGTGCTCCGTGTGACCGGGGCCAAAATAAAATAGTAATAATTTATTAGAACCAATAAAACAGCATTAAAACAATAAACATCAGCAGTAATCAGAATTTATCAGATAGCATTACACAATATGTATCCTCCCTTCGGGGAGGAGATGGGGAGGCCAGGCTTGATGGTAAATCACTGCTGTCCCCAACCATAGGCCTGGTGGAACATCTCTGTCTTACAGGCCCTGCAGAACTATTTAGGTCCCGCAGAGAACAGATGTCATCAGGCAGAGAATTCCACCAGGCCGGTGCCAGGGCCGAAAAAAGCCCTGGCTCTGGCTGAAGACAGCTGGATATCCTTGCCTTGTGTTAGCTCCAATTTAAGATGAACTGAATACAAATCTCATATGCTCAACCTACGTAATGAGCCTCTGTAAACATGCATATGATTCAATGATTCTATGATTCAATCACAAACCAGACCTTTTCTAAAAGCCACGGGTTGTCATTTATGCCACCCAATTGCTGGGATTAACACCACCTAGCCGAAAGGGAAACGGTGGAAGCTGATTTTTCCCTCCGCCAAGGAGGGCGGAGGGGGCTCCTTGGGGCTTAGAAGAGACAGCCTTGCTCACTCACCCATCTGATCCAGCTTTCAGTCTCCTCTTCAGCCAGCCGAGAAAGCGTGCGAGGCAAGTACCTGAGCAATTTCTCCTTCACAGATGAGGAGGTCATGGTGCCTTCAGCCTCCACCAAACTGGCGATCACGTCTGCAATCTGGCCAGAGCCTTCCACGACCACGCAGGGAATTTTACTCTTGACTGCGGTGTTAATAGCCTATGGAAGAGACCGTTGAAGTGACGAAATGGATTCACAAAGGAGCCAGTCATTTAGAATCCTTCTCAGCAGCACTAAATGTGGCACATGCAGAATCCTAGCGGTGCTTTTGGCCAGCTGCGAATTCTAGCAGCCTTCGTTCTTTTGCAAGAGTTAGGTTGTGGTCACACGGGCCAGAAAAAATGGGGGTGGGGAGAGTGAGGCTATTTCCTCCGGAGGGATTTGACCCGCAGTTGCACGATCACACCTCCCTTTGAAGCTGCAGGCGCAGCCCGTCAGTGTGTGATCAGACGCAACCGCGGGTGAGTCGGGGGGGGGGGGTTGTACCATTTGTTTCCCATGTGCCTAAACAAGGAATTGATGAATTGCACCTCCACACTGAGGGTTCCCTATGGAGTTTGTGATAATATAAATACTGGAAGGGGGGAGCGGCACGGAGTTGGGATGGCCTGATCAGACCATCCCGATGCCATGAGGGCACACTGGAGAGATCAGACAGGGGAAAGTGCATCCGTGGCCCGTCGCAACCCATTTACTACCGGATTTTCCCCTGTGTCTTTTAACTCCACTTCTGCGGCGGAGCAGAATGGGTTGCTGATACCTGCGAGGCGCTTCCCAGATATTGTTGTCTGATTGCGCCCTTTAAATCCACCCGGCATTCAGGCCTATGTCGGGTCTAATTGTGCGTATGATCGCAGCCTCAGTCTGTAATCCGTCCATTCTAGGCAGAGTGATTGAGAGAGCAGTAGCCGACTGTAATGATTCCTTGTTTTTGGTGTGTGTGTGTGTCTCTTTAAAAGTTTGGTTGCATGGCTGTGGTAAGTAGACTGGAGTGGTTGAGAGAAGCAAGCGTGGTATGATTGGTGGTTGACAGAGAGGGGGAGGGGTTTTGGAAGTGAAAATGAGTGGATGAGTATGTATGTCAGTCAGGAGTGACAGTTACAGGTTTGACAGTTGATAAGTTCAGTTAGTTCTGGGTGTGAGGGAAGTGAGAAGCGATCCTGTGTGGAATAAGTTAGTTCAGTGAGAAACAGAAGGAAGGCTGAGAGAATAGGAAAAAATAAATGAAAGTTTAATTGAAGACAAGTTATAGGAAAGGCTGTATGTCCTGGAGAGAAACAGTGAACATATATGACCTTGAGTTAAAGTGTTACAAAGTTACCTGAAAGTTCCCTGTCAGTAAGGGAGCAGATTGTGTGTGATACACCAAGCAATTGTTCATTATTTACACATTAATAGTTACATTGTTCTACCCTTGTATTTATGAATTATTTCAGTAAATCCTCTTTTATTCAAGTATACCAGATCTGAAAGAAATACTTCCTCAGGACCACATAGTTCCTCATAAGCCTTGAACTCGGTCTACCAAAATAGTAAGAACAACAGTAAAGTATAAAGGTTTGGAAATCCTTAAAATTTCCTGGTGGCAGCCGGATATACCCAGTAGAACAAAATAAAAAGAGAACTTTTAAAGGGAACCCAGTCCTCCCCAATAAATAGGACATCACACCGACCATCTCCAGTTCTTCTTGAATAACTCATCTGCACTGGACCCTTTTCAGCCTGGTTTCAGGGTGGGTTATGGGACAGAGAAGGCTCTGGTGGCTTTTGTTGATGACCTCTGTCAGAATGTAGACAAAGGCCATGCTTCTTTGCTGCTCGTACTAGATCCATCGGCAGCCTTTGATGTAATAGATCATGTCATCCTGTTGAGGCACTTGGAGACTGAAGGAGGTATCAGGGTGTGTACCTTAGACTAATTTAAATAATTCCTCATGGATTGGACTCAAAGGGTTGTCGTTAGAGACCATTTCACTTCGGTGTGGGAGTTGTCTTGTGGGCTTCCACAGGGCACAGTCTTATCCTCCAGACTATTCAATCTCTCGGTAAAGCCTTTAGGAGAAATCATTCATAGCTTTGGAAATGGGTTTCGTCGATATGCTGATGACAGCCACTTCTGTATCTTTCTATCCACATCCCCTGGTGATGAGGTAGAGGTCACTCTCTTTGGGTATTTTTGCATTTTTGTGTGTGCATCTGTGTGCATGCGTGTGCCCATGCCTGGAAGTCATGGCGACCTCTGGTGACTCCTATTGGGGCATGGAGGATGTTCAGAGAAGTGGCTTGATAGCCTGCCTCTGCCTCCCGGCCCTGGTATTCTTTGAAGGTCTCCCATCCAAATACCCTGCTTAGCTTCCAGGATCTAATGAGATTGGGCTTGCCTAGGCTATCCAGGTCAGGGTGATGAGGTAGAGGTCTTGAGCCACTGCCTGACTGGTGGGGTCAAATGGCTAAAAGTGAACAAAATGAATCTGAGCCCAGAAAAAAACAAAAGGGATGCTGGTTTGGAAGGAAGAGATCTTGAAGGTGCTTCCCATTTTTGATGAGGTTCAGTGGACCCTTGCAAGAATCTGCCTTATGCTATCTCAGACTGTCGGTCCATCAAGATCAGTATTGTCTACGCAAGACCAGCAGTGCCTCTCCAGGATCTCAGGCAGAAGTCTTTCTTATCACCTCCTGCCTGGTCTTTTTAACTGGCGATGCCGCCAGGGATTGAACCTGGCACCTTCTGCATGCCAAGCAGATGCTCTATCTCTGAGCCACAGCCCCTCCCCAAAACTGACAATACATCTTCCTACAAGAATGGAAAACATTCACTTTGCCCCTAAAGTGTTTAGGGTGTGGAGAGAGCTTTGCAAAAATCAGACATACTTTTAGAGTTTCTTTTCCTCCTCCTTGAACAAAGCACACAATTGGAATTTTCCCACCATAGTTAGAATCTGAAATAAAAACACAGGATGGACATATGTATGATCTAAAGCATTACATGTTTTTTTTTAAAAAAACCCATTCCTTAGTTTTATTTTGTGCCATTCAGAAAGCGCAGTAGTATCCTTTGACCAGACATTTGTGTATTGCCTTGTGAAAGTATGTATTAATTTAAAGTATGTATTAATTTAAAAACACACGATGGACATATGTATGATCTAAAGCATTACATGTTTTTTTTTAAAAAAACCATTCCTTAGTTTTATTTTGTGCCATTCAGAAAGCGCAGTAGTATCCTTTGACCAGACATTTGTGTATTGCCTTGTGAAAGTATGTATTAATTTAAAGGTTTCTGGCCTGACAAATATATTAGAAGGAAAAATGGAAGAAGAATTTATGGAACCTTGGGGGGCGTTTTATGACTGGTTAAAACTTGAGAAAATAAGATTAAGTGAAGAATAATAAGAATAATAGAGGAAGCAGTTGTGAAATTGTAATGAGAAGATGTGCATGCAGAATGCTAAACTGGAACTTTTACTATTTCTGTATTTTTTCTTTTCTTCCTTCCTTTCCCCTTCCCAACTTTCTTTATATAAACTAATAAAATTCTTTTTTTAAAAAAAAAGCTCAGTAGTATCCTTTGACCAGACATTTGTGTATTGCCTTGTGAAAGTACGTATTAATTAAAAGGTTTCTGGCTTTCCCACTATTCACATTATCGGTCCCTAATCAATAGTTGCTTATTCAGTAACAAACACTTTGACACATTCAATTTGACCCCCCCCCCCTCAGGGCTTTCCCAGATGGGCTAACTGTCCCCTGCTCTTTAGGCCAGCCCCTGTGTTCTGGTGCCAACCCCTGGCAAAGGCATTTTTCCCTTTAGGGGATGCCTTTAGGGGATTTTATTGACACACACTATTACAGGGATCACTCTTAGAGTTTCAGTCTCCAGCCCCTGTAGACTTTTGAGGATGGCAGTGGAGCCCTCTTGTTTCTAAGGCACCTGCACGGACACTAGGCAGCATGCTGCATGTCCTGTTCCTTCCCTGAAACGTTAGAAAATGTATAATAATTTTACTGACTAACACGGGTGGTGGAGGAAAGTGCCAACGAGTCACAGCTGACTTACTGTGACCACCACTGGGTTTTCAAGCCAAGAGACGATCAGAGGCAGTTTGCCACTGCCTGCCTGCCTCTGCATAGCAACCCTACACTTCCTTAGTGGTCTCCCACTCAAGTACTATCCAGGGCTGACCTTGCTTAGCTTCCAGGATCGGAGGAGATCGGGCTGTCTTGGACTATCCAGTTCAGAGCTAAGCAACACTACTGAGCAGAGGTCGATTCGGGGGGGATCGCGGGGGATCGCAGTTCCCCTGGGTGAGGTGCGGGGGGGCACACAACGAAGCCCCGCCCCTTGCTTCCGGCTGCCCCGCTTCCAGCCCTCATTCAGCCAGGAGGAGGCAGGAGAAGAGGGAGGGTAAGTTGCTTTCTCCCCGCCTCTCCCCACCCCTGCCTGCCTGGGGCCAGGGGTGGGCCTTGGCGGGGAGGGCCTTGGCGGGGCTTCCTCGCACTCTCGCCGGCCTTGCAGGTTCCCCGCCGGGCCCCTGATGTCAGGGGGTGTGGCATATGCTAATGAGTTATGCTAATGAGTCCCCCTAGCTCTTTTTCTATGAAACGACCCCTGCTACTCAGCAATAATTAAGGAGCACTAAATTGACAAGACACCATGGAAGCAACTGGTGGAGTTTGCAGATTTCTTTCCAGAATGCTTCTGCAAATCCAGATTATTGCCGCTACAAAACCTAGTCCTAAACTCACCACAGTTTCTTGTAATTTTATTAATGCCATGAGAAAGTGTTGTAGTACGTAAATAAATAAATAGGCCTGGTTGTCATTGCAACAAAAAGCTAGCCTCTCAACTAACATCCTCAATTTCTCGTGATTTCATTATTGCTTTAGAAAGCTCAATTTAATTGAATATTGGAAGCAGCTGCTTAAGGAATGGATTCATCCACCACTGTTGAATAGTCAACGTAGAAGCAAGGAATGACAAGAATTTCATGCAAGTGCATTTTTGTGTCATACAACAAAACATAACCTGATGTGAAATGATAGGTAAGTTTTGTACTTCTAGTGGGGGTTGCCAAGAGACACTATAATAAAATTCCAGCTGAAAATTAAAGGAATCACAATGAAATTTCTAGGTGCCATGACAACCTGGAACCTGGGACTTGTCAAACCCTGACATAGAATAGTCCTATAACCATAATTTTGCTCCTGTTTTACCTTCTTTCCTCTCCTTTGTTCTCTCTTTGTTGCCCTCCTCTGCCAAAATTTAGACTGTAAGCCCCTTTTAAAACTTCAGCTTATGTTTAAAACGTACATTGATGGCACCATAACAATAACTTTTCTTTCTCCACTAGTTCCCATGACTGCATCAAAATAGGTCTGATCAGCAAAGAAGGTATATTGCCTCACAAAAAGTATTTATTTGCTACATCAGTGCTACAGGTGAAATGGCTCCTGTGGCAATTTACAATAAAAAATAAATAACTCTACAATTTAAATAAGCATTTCATACTCAGAGTCCCCTAAACACCCATCAATGACCAGAGAACTTAAATCAGACGAAAACTCCAAATCCACCTTGAAACCGACCTGGGATAAGACTATTTGGAAAAATACTGGGATGTGAGGGACAATTTATTTTGCTTTGATAATTATTGAAGGTTAAAGGATATTTAAAAATAGATAAAGTTATATGAATAAAAAATGGAGGGATAAGTTACCTATAGATATGGGGGGGAAAGGGAGGGATGAAGAACATCTAAGAAACGAACAGGAAGTTGGAGCACTGTGGGAAGCCGAGTGGGGGGGGTAAGGGAGGAGGGTAGGATGTATAACTATATAATGTTTGATTTATATTTGACTTTGTTTATTATATCCTAATAAAATGTTTTCCAAAAAAAAGAAAGAAACCAACCTGGGATAATGCGTTCCGAAATGTATTTTTCTAGCTGGGTTCGTAGCTTGGCCTCTATGGATGGGTACCCATGAGTGCCGTTATCCACCAGAATTAGATGCGTGTGATTATTGTCCAGACAATATAAAGGGTCCCTCTTGAGGTCATCCATGATGTAGTGTGCTGAGTAATATGCCTAGAAATGACAACAATTTAAAAAAATACAGAAATAAGCTGACTTCCCACCACTGAATGACACTTGTGATGTCATGGTTGCTCTGCCAAGTTTGTTCCCCTCCTTTAAAACAAACAAACAGAAAACTCTGAATTTCTTTTACCAGTTTTGGTTACGCCAAGTCTCATTAGGGAACTAGCTGAGACACTTGGAGATCCATGATTGACTATTGTGACACTTTTTATTGGCCAACGGTATAGATACTCCATCACACCTGCCAGTTTTACTTGCAACCCAGTCACACATGGCGATGAAGGCAGTGAAAGGTACAAGCTGTTTGCCTCTGTCCAAACAGTTCAATCACCCTGACCTGCGGAAAATCATGTACCTATCACATATGACTTTGCAGTTTCAGCTGCTTCCCGGCAATGCTCCCTCTAAGCTGTGGAGTCTTGTGGGCAAAAATTCTACTTTGTGAGCTACTGGCATTAAAGTTGTGAGCCAGCGATTTGGCTACTGCATAAATGAGTTTGCTCTGGAGCCCTCCTTCCTGAGCTAAGGCGAAAATGTGTGAGCTGGAGGCTAAAAAACTGTGAGCTAGCTCACACTAACTCAGCTTAGAGGGAACACTGCTTCCCGGTGTCCTGGCTGCGGCCGCCAGCTTCCTGTCTGCTGTCTGCCACATTTTTAACAACAAAACAGCAACAACAAACCTGTAATGAAGTACAGCTAGTGGTTTACTAGAGTGGGGTCTCCCTGTGGTCCAAACCCTGTTGTATTGCTCATTGGATGCTGTTGATTGTTCTTGACTTACACTATGTGATCCTGCCTTGAGTCTCAGCCGAGAAATGCAGACTATAAATAACCAAACAACAACAAGAACAAGAACATGGCTGCCTCACTTGGTGAGGATTAATGGCTGGTGAACTGTGTGCATCGATTCACATGTGCTCGTTATCGTGCAGCGTGCATCAACATGACAAATATTGCTGACTGTGCATGATCAAAGAACAGCATGTGAGGCACTCTACGTCAAGGAAATGATATCTCTGAGTGCATAGGTGAAAAGGGATGTGTGTGAACTTCAAGATATTCTGGGCTCAACAAGTAGGTCACGCTACACAATACTGGGGGACATATGTCTCTTCTTCAGCGACTGACAAGACTGAATCCACTAACTGCTAACTGCTGGGGCACAAAAGCTACAGCAAGGTGCAAGGTAAGTGCAGGGGGAGGGTTTCCATGCCCATTTTCCCAACCCCAATCAGCCCCCCGCTTGGGATTTTCATGTGTCCATTGAGAAAAAATATGCAGGCAAAACAGCAGCACTGAGAATCGTCTAAGGTTGAAAATGTGGCTTGGGAGCAATGTTCCCTCTAAGCTGTGGAGTCTTGTGATCAAAAATTCTACTTGGTGAGCGCCTGGCATTAAAGTTGTGAGTGAGCAATTTGGCTCCTACATAGATTACTTTGCCCTGGAGCCATCCTCCCTCAGCTAAGACAAAAAGGTGTGAGCCAGAGGCTAAAAAACTGTGCGCTGGCTCACACTAACTCAGCTTAGAGGGAACAGTGCTTGGGAGATGGGTTTAACCGTCCCTCCTACATGCTGCAGCCTTGGTCTGAATTGGTAGGGGGTACAGCTGCTGTGTACCGCTAAGGAAAAGCCAATCATAGATTGTCCCATACCTTTCCTTAACCTCTGGATGTTTTGTTCACATGATTAAACGTTGGCCTAACATATCGCACCTTCTTGTCCTTTCCAAATCTACTGTCCTCTTATAATTCCCTGCATTTATCTTTTAAGGATGAATCACTTCTCTGTTTTCCAGAATCCCACAGAGTACCAACTGCACTTGATTACTTTATAAATGACACATGAGTGATCATACACTTCTGATCCTTTCATTAACACTAAACAAGGCCAGGAACAGTTCAAGCTTCAAGGAGAATGTCAGTTTAGTGTAAGAAAGAGCTATACAACCTGGAAGTCTTTGGTTCAGATATCAGTGCAGTCATGAACTCGTGTCAGGGAAGCAAATCAGTCCCTCGTTTGTAATCTGAGAAGTTACCCAACTCCAGGATGTTCATCAAGATCAGTACCTCCGCATCGCAGTTTCTGATCAGACTGTCCCGATTGGAAATCATCCCCCAGGAAGCGATCCCGATGGCAACAACATTCTCCTCTGAATTCCTACTGATGGTGTTATCCCTCACTACTTCCCCGATATACTTCATCAGCCCATAATGAGTTCCGCCAGTGAATATCCAGGCCCCTGCAGAGCAATAACAAGGCTCAGTCAAACTCACTTAGGCAGCGGACAAAGAAAACAGAGAATCTTTTAATTCATGCCAGTTCACATGTTACATGATTCATGCGGTGGACGTATGGGCTGTTGATTGACATTGGTCAGGGAGTTCCATGCTGGGAACTTAATTCCCAGGCCAAGTGCAGGCCTGATTTGGATCAGGAACCCAGTGCATTGGGAGAAGGGGCTTAAGCTGGCCTGTAGCTACGGCGGGGCAATTGGGGGCTCTGCCCCTTCCTTAAAGGGCCAGCCAACTTCCTTTAAGGCCCTTCCCCACTTCTTCCCAAAAGCATTTAAAGGGATCCTCTAAAGCAGAAGGATGTGGACTGTTCAGTGCCCCACACTGTATATATTTTGCTGAGGATTTGTAGATAAATATCTCTTGCATTTGTACCAAGCTGGACTCCACTTTGGCAATAACATGGTCAGATGGTGCCTGGGTGTTGACTTGCCCTGTTGTTCAGGATACTTTTCAGTTTATTCAGTCTGAAGATGTGGACTGGTTCCCTCGATGTTTAAGGCCTACCACCTGCACATATGATTATTTCCTTTCATGACTGCTTAAATCTCCTGGTGGGGCTGGCTGATTGCGTTTGAGAAGAAGAGAGAAGGAGGAGATTGGATTTATGCCCCACCCTTCACTACCCGAAGGTGTCTCAGAGTGGCTTACAAACTCATCTCCCTTCCCCTCCCCACCACAGACACCCTGGGAGGTAGGTGGGGCTGAGAGAACTCTGACAGAAACTGCTCTTTTTCAAGAACAGCTCTTATCAGAACTACGGCTTGCCCAAGGTCATCCAGTCAGGTGCATGTGAAGGAGTGGGGAATCAAACCCAGTTCTCCCAGATTAGAGTCCGCGCACTTAACCACTACACCAAACTGGCTCTCAGTTAATACCTCCATGGATGAGCACACTTCTGTGAACATGTGGGTGTGTGGCCTAATATGCAAATGAGCTGTGCTGTCAGGGGTGTGTCCTAATAAGCAAATTAATTTCTGCTGTTGGGTGTGGCCTATTATGCTAATGAGTTTCTGCTGGGCTTTTTCTACAAAAAAAGCCCTAGAGTTGACAATTCAATTAAATCAAGGTGGCTGAACAACTCAAGGATTTCCTGGATGATGTGAACCATTTCACCCCAGACTTGGCCTATTTACGTGCCCTTAACCCATGCACTGAGATCTCAGTCCAAACTGGGGCCATGTGTGCCAGGGAATCAAGTTCCCAGCACAGAACTCCCAGCAGACATCAAGTCAACAGTCCACATGCCTTCCATGAGGACTTTGTAACATTTGAATTGGCACATGGTTTGAAACAGGTAGGGAATATTCTCTAAATCCCATCTAATGTATTCTTTTCCAGTACCATTGTATGAGTTGTACCTGGTTACACAGTATTTAGTGCCAAAGTAGCCCCTCAGAAGTGACAATAATGCCCCCCCGCAGGGCCGGCTCACTCACTAGGTGAACTAGGCGATTGCCTAGAGCGGGCTGGCCCTTAGGGGCGCCAAACTGCACCCAGCCCCGTACTCTGGGAGTTTCTTGATTATTTGTGTTTTTCATTCTTCCTAAAATGCATTTATTTTTGAAAATTGGTGGGCGCCGGGGGGGGGGGCGCCAGAAGGGATCCTTGCCTAGGGTGCAAAATAAGCTGGGGCCGGCCCGGTAGCTCTTGGGCAATTAGTCTCCTGAAGTTGCTATTTGGCTGTACAGAAACGGGAACTGTATCAAGGGAACTCACGCCACCTCATTAAAAAATGTAACATTTAGCCCTGACCAATGTTCCCTCTAAGCTTAGTGTGAGTTAGCTCAGAGTTTTTTAGTCTCCGGCTCACACATTTTTGTCTCAGCTCAGGAAGGATGGCTCCAGAGAAAACTGATTGATGCAGTGGCCAAATCGCTGGCTCACAACTTTAATGCCGGTAGCTCACAAAGTAGAATTTTTGCTCACAAGACTCCACAGCCTAGAGGAGGCATTGGCCATGACCTGGATAACCCAGGCCAGTCCGATCTCAGAGGCTAATCAGGGCAAACTCTGGCAAGTACTTGGATGGGAGACCTCCATGAAATACCGGAGGCGGGAGGCGGGGGCAGGCTTTATTCATCCACCTCTCTGAATATCCTACGGGGCCCCAGTAGGGGTCAGTCACCAGAGGTCACCATGACTTCTAGGTGCACACGCACTCACACGCTCACACACACATGCATATATCAAGATACCAAAAAAGTGTAATGTCTACTTTCGTCCTTACTTAGTACAACACAATGCTTTTCAATCACAGGGTGACCCCCATGGTTATGTGTATGAAATGCACGCAAGCTTTCCTTTCCTACCTTCCCTGCTTTATACCCACACATCGTTTTGCCAGGCTGTGCCAAAGCAAAGATGATGGTTTACCTTTAGACTGTGCAATGTAGATCAACCGGCTGACAATCTTGCGCATTCGTGGCTTCAGAGCAAAATTTTTTGCTCCGCCTGTGACAGAGATGACGAGGTTGGGTGTTTTCAGATGCCACTGCTGGGTCATGAGGTCGTAGAGAGTTTCAGAGTCTGTATCACACGACAGGCGGATATACTTGGGAAACAGAGAAAGACATTTTTACAAGAGGCAAAACATTCCATTTGGCCTGATATTGCCTTTCTACTCATTTGGCCTTTCTACTCATGCATCGTACCGCATTCTGCCATGTTTAGTTCAGTGGCTAATTCAGATGAGTCTTTGAATAGACCAAAAGCGCTCACGGGGGCCAGCATCTCCTTTGAAGCCTTCTTAGCAAGGGTGTAGACTTTCCGATTTCCCGGGGGAGGCTGGGGCTGGGCCAGAGGCATTGCTTTGCTAGGAGCAAGAGTGGCTCCCGGGGGAGGCTGAGAACCTTCCTGAAAATTTCGGCGGGGGCTGACGCCCCGCCGCCCCCACGAAGATTACGCCTATGCTTCTTAGTTCAGGCATCAGTACTTTCGCTCTCTGTTAAATAATTATTACTGTTTCAAATCCCTTCTGAATGTCACTGCTGTTCTTATACTTTCATTTGATGAATTTGTGAGCCTCTTTTGAGAAAAGTGGCACAGAAGTCGCCTAAATCCATAAATAGCTGTGCACTGTTTGCACACTGGAGATTAACACGGGGGGGGAGGATTGAGAAGCTTCTTTTGATTCATAAAAACCCTCAATTCTCTGATGAAGTAAAAGTTCAGAATAATTGGGCTGCCAGATCCTGGGGGGGCAGGAGTTTGCCCACTCTAGGGCCCCCCAACCTGCCGGCCCAGATCTGGCTGGTGGGGGGAACACCATCCCTAAAGTGCCTGGATCGGGCCAATGTGCTCGGCACGATGACGTCACGTGGAAGTGATGTCATCACTCTGGGCACGTCACCGGGGGGGGGGGATGGTCTAGCATTTGGCCTGAAAACTCTATGGTATCATAGAGTTTTCAGGCCGAATGCTAGACTGTCCCCTGGTGACGTGCCTAGCATGATGACTTCACTTCCGGGTGATGTCATCACGGCACATGTGCAAAAGTCCCAGACCAGGAGCTTCTCCCCGCCCCCCCTGGAAAGAGGTAGGGACCTGGCAACCTTGCAGAATAAGGAACTGGTTAAAGAACTAAGCATGAGTCATGTTTGTATCTTCAAAGATCTATCCATCTTGGTAAAAAATACGAATACTGGTTCTGGATAGCTAATTTTCTCTGCAGTTGCTGTGGCACTTTTAAACAGTTTCCATGCATGGTAACTCAGCAGCAAGCCCCACAGAACTGGATGGGTCTCAATCTTAGCCAGGTGTGCACAGGAATGCAGCCTTAATGAGTATAATGAACAGCAAAGAACACACCACTGACTGAAAATAAATACACAAGCAAAGTAGCAAGTATATAATAATCATATAAGCATAACAACTAAAGCACAGTCTACAGTCTATTATGCTTTATTATTGCACCTTGGCCTATTGATTCTTATTATAGTTGTTATGCTTATATGATTATTATATACTTGCTATTTTGCTTGTGCATTTAGTTGTTATGCTTATATGATTATTATATACTTGCTACTTTGTGTATTTATTTTCAGTCAGTGGTGTGTTCTTTGCTATTCCTTGTACTGTACACTGGCTTCCCCCCCTTATTTTTGGCTTAATGAGTATAATGGCAGGTGTAATTATTGCTTCCACAAAAGTAAGTAGGCATATAAATTTCAGAAGTATTCCAAACAACACAATTTTCAAAGCTGACAAAGCTCCGTGTGCTGAAAGCAGAAATGTGAGCAAAATTAGTTTAGGATTGATGAGGAAGTATCGCATATATTCTTTGAACTCCCCCCCCCAAGAACTCCCCAGAAAAAGCACCATCTTCAAAGTTTTAAAAGTTCCAACAATGTGACAATCACATGCTTAATTTGGCAAGTGGTTAACGTTGTCCCCCCCCCCCCCACTTCTGATATCTTAGCATGCATCATATGGCACCCGGAGACCTTTTGTAGCGGAGCACTTCTCATAATCTCACCCTAACTAGAACATTTTGCATCGGACAATGGGAAGCGACCCTGCTGAAATATTAATCCTCCTGGATGCTTGCCTTTTAAATGAATTAAACTTCTGAAATAAATGGGAACAGCAAGTGGCTAAAGATCAATGGGCCTTGTTAACCCTGGAGTTTCCCTTCTCTTGGTGAAAAGGGCTGTCAAATAGGCCTGTAGCTACAGTGGGGGCATCTCAGGGCCCGGCCCCCCTGACTTACTGCCAAGCCCTCCCCCCCCCAATTTCTCATCCAGCCCCAGGCCCCCTGACTTCTAATTTTTTATTTTATTTCTGGTGCTCCCTTGGGGTGGGGTGCCCCCGACTTATTTAAATTAAATTTTAAAATCCTGGCTACGGGCCTGCTGTTAAATTGCAGCTGACTTATGGTGACCCTGTAGGGTTCTCAAGGTGAGAGACCTGCAGTCGTGGCTGGCCATTGCCTGCCTCTGCATAGCAACCCAGGACTTCCTTGGTTGGACCCATCCAAGTACTAACCAGATCCAACCCTACTTAACTTCTGAGATGGTCCAGCCGGGTCAGACCATTCCTATTCATAGGTAAAGGTAAAGGTTCCCTTGCTCGAAAGCCAGTCGAATCTCTGTTTCAAAGCCGGAGAGCCAGCGCTGTCCGAAGACATTTCCGTGGTCACGTGGCTGGCATGACTAAACACCAAGGCGCACGGAATGCTGTTACCTTCCCACTGAAGTGGTACCTATTTATCTACTTGCAGTTTCTTGCTTTTGAACTGCTAGGTTGGCAGGAGCTGGAACTAGAGAAAGGAGCTCACTCCGTCCTGCGGCACACTCTGGTCGTAAAGGTTCCCTTGCTTGAAAGCCAGTTGAATCCGACTCTAGGGTTGCGGTGCTCATCTCCGTTTCAAAGCTGAAGAGCCAGCGCTGTCCGAAGACGTTTCCGTGGTCATGTAGCCGGCATGACTAAACACCGAGGCGCACGGAACGCTGTTACCTTCCCACGGAAGTGGTACCTATTTATCTACTTGCAATTTCTTGCTTTCGAACTGCTAGGTTGGCAGGAGCTGGAACTAGAGACGGGAGCTCACTCCATCATGCGGCACACTCCAGTCTCGAACTGCTGAACTACCAACCTTCCACAGCCTGCAGTTCAGCGTCTTAACCACTTGAGCCACCACAGCTCCTTTCCTATTCATAGGTGATGCTTAAACAGAATAAAGCACGTGCCAGTAAACCCCAACATCTACGCACTGACCCAGAACTGGATTATTAAAATCTATTCTGTCCATCACACCTTAAAAATGAAAAACAATTATGTTTAACCCTTGAGGTTTTTGCACTGTGTTTCTACCCATGGCTCCAGATTCCCTTCTAAACGCATAAAAGCAGGGCTCTAGTCGGGGGGGGGGCTCTCAGGTACGGAGCTCCGGAAGAGAACCTCTAGGGGGCGGGGCGGTCACGTGGTGAAGCCCCGCCCCCTTCTTTACCCCGCCCTCTGCTTCGATCCTCATTCCGTTTGGGAATGAGGATGAAGCAGGAGGGTAAGTAGCCGGGCCTTCTGACACACTTCCGGTGATGTCAGGGGGTGTGGCCTTCTGTCACTTCCGGTGATGTCAGGGGGCGTGGCATATGCAAATAAGTTATGCTAATGAGTTATGCTAATGAGCTCCGGCAGCTCTTTTTCTACAACAAGACCCCTGCATAAAAGTAGAATAATAATAGAACCGTCGCATGTCCTCATACTTTTTGAAAGGTAAAGAATGTAAAGGGAGTTTCACAGTGCTAGCCTAAGCAGAGTTATACCCTCCTAAGTCCACAGAAATCAATGGTTTAGAAGGGTGTAACTTGGCTAGGGTGGCACTGCCGTGTATAATAAAGCAAAAGTCCAGTGGCGGCTTAAAGGCTAACAACATTTATTTCAATATGAGCTTTTGTGAGTCAGACCTGAGCTGTGATTCATGAGAGGTCTTATTGAAATAAATGTTAGTCTTTTTTTTTTTTTTTTAATAAATTTATTTTCCAAGTTTTCACCTTTACAATCCATATTTTCTATGTATAAAGCATATGATAATTCATTAGTCATTTATACATCTTCATAAAGTTGTTGGCTTCAAATTATCATATCTAACTTATAAAAGTTCATCACATTTTTACACATCTCCATATAATTTGTTCTTAATTTATAATATTTACACTAGCATTTTATCCACCAATTCTTCTTTTATATTTTAGCCAGTCATATATATGTTTCCATCTTTTCCAAAATAGATTCTCTGGTTTGTTTTTCAGTTCTAGGCTCAGTTTATCCAATTCTGCGATTTCTAACATCTTGTATTTAAGTTCTTTTATCGATGGTATATGTTTTGATTTCCAACGTCTTGCTATGAGTATTCTTGCTGCTGTTAATATATATATTATTATTACCTTATGATTTTTTATGTTATCCGGGATCATGTTTAATAAATATGTTTCGGGTTTCATAGGTATATTTAGTTTGAAAACTTCTCGTATAATTTTATGTATTTTTTTCCAAAATTTTTGTATTTTCTCACATCTCCACCAAATATGGAGATATGTCCCTACATTTTTCCCACATCTCCAACATAAGTTCGATGCTTGTGGGAAACATTTGGCTATTTTTTCAGGGGTCCAATGCCACCTGTAAAACATTTTATAGATGTTTTCTTTATAGGGGATTGCTTTCATATATTTTATTGACCTCCACGTTTTATTCCATTGAGCTATATTTAAGGGGGTTCCTATCTCTTTATCCCATATCATCATTGATTTTTTAATGGTATCTTTTTCTAATGCTTCCTCCAATAGTTTAGAGTACAGTTTCTGGATTAATTTATCGTTAGACGAGAGCCATATTTTATCTATTTCATTTTGAGTTGTATAGAACCCTGTTTTTTTATCAATCGCGTATCGAGTGTTGATTATATTATAATCCCACCAAGTTGTTTTAATATTTTCTTTTCTTAGTGCTTCTTCTTTTTTGAGTTCCATTTTTTCATTTAGGAGGGTGCTGTATGTTAGTTTGGAGTTGCCTATCATTACTGATGGTTTAATGAAGGCTTCCAGAGAGGAAATCCATAGAGGGGTCTTATTATAAAATTTATTTTTTATGATGTTCCAGGTTTTCATTAGGGCTGCTCTTATTATGTTTGTATGGAAACAAGAGTGGATTTTATCTTTTCCATACCACATGTATGCATGCCATCCCATTGGCAAATCTGCTCCTTCTAATATCAAAGTTCTTTCATCTTTAAGTTGGGCCCATTCTTTGATCCATGTCATTGCTGCTGAGTGGTAGTATATCTGCCAATTGGGCAGTGCAAATCCACCTTTCATTTTATTATCTTGTAGGTACTTAGTTCTAATTCTTTGTCTTTTGGATTGCCAGATAAATTTATTTGTTATTTTCTCTAAATCATTAAGGAATTCATAATTTTTTAGTATCGGCAGGTTTTGCGCTAGGAACAAGAATCTTGGTAAAATATTCATTTTTATGGTCGCTATCCTTCCCATGAGGGACAGGTGTTTTCGTTCCCAGTTTTTCAGGTCGATATTGATTTCTGTGAGGAGTTTTTTATAATTGTTTTCAAATAGCTTTGCAGTGTCATCTGATAACCAAATGCCTAAGTATTTGGCCTTTTGTACTATTTCCATTTTTGACATCTCTTTTAATTTTATTATCAGTCTTGGGGAGCAGTTTTTGACCATTATCTTTGTTTTTTGAATGTTAATTTTAAACCCAGCTACCTGACCAAATTCTTTTATATTATCTATTAAGTTTGTCAGTGTTTTTTCCGGGTCTTCCAACACAAATATTAAATCGTCAGCAAAGGCCTGTACTTTAAATTCTTCTCCTTTTATTTTCAACCCTCTTATTGTTTTGTTAGATCTAATTTTATCAATTAATGTTTCGATTATAAAAATAAATAGTAATGGGGAGAGGGGGCATCCTTGCCTTGTGCCTTTTTGAATTTGGATGTTTTGGGACGTTTCGCCATTGATTAGTATTTTGGCACTTTGCTTATTATACATAGCTTTGATCATTGTATAAAAATTTTCCCCACACTCCCATAACTCTAGTTTTTTGAACATATAAGTCCAGTTTATATTGTCGAATGCTTTCTCTGCATCTAAGAGAATCAAAGCCATCTGCTTCCCAGGTTGCATTGCGTAATATTCTAGCACATTTTATATTTCTTACGTTGTTTTGTATCTTTCTCTTAGGTAGGAATCCTGATTGATCCTTGTGGATTATTTTTGAAAGCACTCTTTTCATCCTATTGGCCATTATTTTTGCAAAAATTTTATAATCAGTATTTAATAGTGAGATGGGCCTATAATTCTTTATTTCTTCCTCAGCAGAGTTCGGTTTGTGTATCAGAGTAATCAAAGCCTCACTCCATGAGGCAGGGATTACCTTTGACTGAGGTATATTGTTAATCAGCTCTTTAAATGGTTTTGAGATCTGCTCCTCAAATGTCTGATAAAATTCTGTTGGAATTCCATCAGGACCTGGTGATTTCTTTTCCCCCCCGTCTTTTATCGCTTCTATTATTTCCGTAGTTTCAACAGGGTTATTTAGTATGTCTAACTGTTCCTTATTAAATTTCCCTTTTTCCGTTTTTCTTTGGTAATCTTGTATTTCCTCCTCTCCTATCTCATCTTTTTTATATAGTTTCCCATAAAATTTTAGAATTATCTCTTCTAAATCTTTTTGTGAAGTCATTTCTTCCCCATTCTCATTTTTAAGTCTTTTTATGATTCTTTTTTCCTTTTCTTTTTTTAGCTTATAAGCAAGCCATCTTGTAGGCTTATTGGCATTCTCAAAATAATATAATTTTGCCCTTTCTATTTTTTTTGCTGTTTCTTTTGTTAGTAGTAGGTTAAGTTGGTGTTGTATCTTATTAATCCTGTTTCTTACATTTTTTAAATCTTTTTTTGATTTTATGTTTCTATTTTCTTCTTTTTGTATTTCTCTGGTTAGCGTTTCGATTTCTTTTCCCTCTTGTTTCTTTTTCCACGCCCCCTGATTTATCCACCACCCTCTTGTGAATGCTTTAAAAGCATCCCATATTATCTCTATGGGGGTGTCTTTGGAAGTATTATTACTAAAAAACTCTTGTATCAAGGTTCTGGTTTTCTTCACTATCTCTTTATCTTTCAATAAGCTTACATTCATTGTCCATCTTGGTTTCCTAGCATTTGTTTTAAGTTTTAGAAGTATCGGGTTGTGGTCCGCAAAGGTACAAGGTAGTATTTGTATCTCCTCTATGCTCTGGACAAGGTCTATCGACACCCATGCCATATCTATTCTCGACCAGGCGCTATGTCGAGCTGAATAGAATGTGTATTCCTTTTTATCTATATTTTTAATTCTCCAAATATCTATTAGTGATAGTTCCTCCGCCAGGTCTAGAAAGGTTTTAGGTAGGTTGTTGCTCGACTTTGTCGCCTTGGGTTTTGTATATTTCCTATCTATTTTTGGGTCAAATACCGAATTATAGTCTCCTATTACACAAATTTCTTCAAAGGTTATCCCCATCAGTTTCTCTTGGAGTTGTTTAAAGAAAATGGGTTGGTTTTGGTTGGGTGCATAGATGTTTAAGATCAAGGTTCTCTTTCCCTGTCTTTCGATTGATACTGCCACTCCTCTTCCCTCTTCTAATGCGAATTCTAGCTTAGGTTGTAGGTGGTCTTTTACATATACTGCTACTCCTTTCTTTTTTTTAAATGTATCTGATGCTATAAAAACTCTTCCTAAGTTGGGTTGGTTTAAATATTTTTCTTGTTCTTTCTTTATGTGTGTTTCTTGGATGCATGTTACGTCTGAATTAAGTTTTAAGAGTTGGTGAAAGATTCTTCTCCTTTTATTGGGGCCATTTAGCCCGTTAACATTAACTGATATTAGCTTAATCGTCTGGAACCTCTCCATCTTCTTTGTCTTTGTCTTTCTTGTTCTTTTCTAGGTTTCTATATTGAAACCTTGTAAGAACTTTGGACGTAGATTTATCCTTTCTTTTCCTGCTTCTTTCCTTTTTGAAATAAATGTTAGTCTTTAAGGTGTCACTGGACTTTTGTTTTATTTTGCTATGGCAGACTAACATGGGCTACCTCTTTCCAACTATCAAGGTATGTCAGTATGTCAACCCAAATAATATTGTCCTGTTCTGTAATCATCCATCCATTCATTCCGAGCAGGGCTCTACTGGTAGCAGGAGCTCCTTTGCATATTAGGCCTCACACCCCTAGTGTAGCCAGTCCTCCAAGAGCTTACAGAGCTCTTCTTACTGGGGCTACTGTAAGCTCTTGGAGGATTGGCTACACTAGGGGTGTGTGGCCTAATTTGCAAAGGAGCTCCTGCTACCAGTAGAGCCCTCTTTCCCCACAAGCAGGGCTCAGGCCGGCTTCCAAGAGTTAAATATACAATATACGATAAAGTCAACATTTTACCATTTTAAAACCAAACATTACAGTTAAAAACCTAACCGTCAATCAGATGGCGCCACAACAATCCATCACAAGTGGGCAACTAAAAAGGCAGTCAACACAGAAGATTCATGGCTCACAGTGAATAGAAAAACCAAGCCCTAAGAAGGGCAAGAAAGGAGGAAAAGAAGGGAGGAGAAGGAGATCAAGATCAGGGAAGGAACTTGATCAAGAAAAATAAAGCGAACAGCGTGGGAGAAGGGGAAAACAGAGAAACAGAGGGGAGAAAAGGGGAAGACAGCTGATCTGTCTAACTGTCACTGTTCCCAACCATATGCCTGGTGGAACATCTCAGTCTTACAGGTCCTGCGAGTCGGGGGCAGAGCCAAAAAGGCCTTGATCCTGGTCAAGGACAGTCAGACCGCTTGGGGGCCAGGGATTAGCAATAAATTGTTACCTGATGAATGTAATGCTCTCTGAGGGGTATATAAGCGGAGGCGTTCCTGTAGATACGATAGTCCCAGACCGTTTAGGGCCTTAAAGGAAAGCACCAAAACCTTGAACCTGATTCGATACTCAATTTGGAGCCAGTGCAGCTGGTAGAGTTCTCAGAGGGGGTCCCAGTAAGGACCCGTGCCGCCGCATTCTGGACCAGCTGAAGCTTCCAGAGCAAGTTCAAGGGCAGCCCTGCATAGAGGGAATTACAGTAGTCTAAGCGAGAGGTGACTGTTGCATGGATCACTGTGGCCAGGTCAGTGCGGGACAGGTAAGGGGTCAGCTTCTGGGCTTGGCAAAAACGGAAAAACGCTGTCCTTGCCGTATTCATGACCTGGGCCTCCAATGAAAGGGAGGCCTCCAGGATCACACCCAAACTCTTGATGGAGTTTGGGCCTCCATACAACCAGAGGCTTTTCGGGGATCCGTACAGCAAGAGGCTTTTTAACTCACCTTTCCTCTCTTGCCCAGGTTCTCAAATTCAATGTCTCCAAAGGCATCTGTTGGGAGTTCTTTGGTGTGTTTCTTGTAATTCCACTTCTCTTGATTATTAATCTGAGTGCCTTCTATATGCTGAGATTTTGAGTAGCCACATTTACACAGGTTGTCACTGTCAAGGTGAGCATATGTGGGAAGAGACATTACAGTTAACCATCACATCGTTCAATTTGCTTGTTTTATCGAGACACCATGCCCAGGAGAGCAGTTTCCCAAGCTAACTAACTATCTTAGGGCAAGTGTCAACCCATTCCAAAGCGCCTAGATCCTTTATTTCAGTCTTTGCAAGCTATGGGTATCAGGCAATCAAAAACAACAACACAAGATCAGCAGAAGGAACTATTTACTAGGAGTTTAATTATTTAACCACATGAGGAGATAGAACAAAGAGTTAGCAGCGCATTCAGGACTTCTTTGAAAACAGCTCCAGGAACAGATGTAATGTGTGTTCAGAGCCTCAGGTTGAGGTAATTGCCAGGAAAGCTCTTTGCCTACTCTGCTAGGTGAAAAAGGCAAATGTCTCTGTCAGGTTTTTGCTTTGCCACAACCTCCATTGAGGCTACTGCAATGCACTCTATGTGGGTCTGTGTCTTGAAATGGATGCAAGGTTGTGGCCAGCCTAGAATTTGTTAGCAGTACCTGGCTTCTGCTAGGAAGATCTAAAATGGTCTCTCTGGACAGTGATTAGCAGAGCTTCTAATTTTTTTAATTCGTGTTTCTGTGGAGCTGTAGCATGTGACTTCGGGTGATTCTGCATCGGCTTTTCCCTCCGTTGTTTTACCAAACCCACATTGGAACGGAAATGCCCCTCTGCACTGCACGCTGCTGTCACTTTCTTTGATCATCGGATTTTATGCTACCCTCTACATAGATTCTGCATAGATTTATGGCCATTCAGGGGTGACTTCGCAGTCAGTACGGCGTTGCCCTGGGGTATCTGAATGTGGTTTTGAACTGCACCTTTCCCTCAGTGTTGAGAAGATGTGGAGCGAACGCCAGAGGCAGAATCACCCTTTATAGACTAGTTCCTGCTATGTGCTTGGGCGAATCATAGAATTAAAAAGTTGGAAGGGGCCAGAGGATCATCCAGTCCAGCCCCCTGCACCAGGAAGGATGACTTCAAATATCCCTGACAAATAATCATCCAGTTCCTGCTTAAACACCTCGAAGGAGGGAGGACACCTTAGGGGTTTTTTTTAAAGTTTTTTTTTAATTTTTAAACAGTAAAAAGAACAAAATACAGTGAGAATAGTTATCAACAGTAGAATTAGATAAGGTAATAATAAATGTAGAAACTCTGTTCAAATAATTTTGCATGTAATGAAAAACCTAATAGTACTTTTGAGGAACCTTGAACTCAGCAGAGTCAGAGAGAAGCTTCCCTAAATTCAGGAACTGGGCCTTACTACCTTCAAGTCAAACCCATCCCTGTTCTTTCCACGAAAAGGTCCTGCGGGACCTCTTATAGTTCCACAGGGCCTGCAAGACGGAGCTCTTCCACCAGGCCTTCAACTAGGAGCCGCACTAAACACCTGAGGAGCGACCCTGTGCCCCGCCCCACAACTTGCAGCCTGTCCTCACCACGCACATAATTGATCAACTGAGCTGGTGTGAGTATACCACCATGACGACCATCTAAGGCCCCTGCCACACGAGGGAAGAAAGGGACGGCCAAAGTGCTGCTTTTAAAAGCCGCACCTGAATAGGCACGTGGCGACGGGATTATACAGATCCCGTGAGCCGCTGTGCATTTGCTCCCCGGCACGATCAGATACTGGGGAGACGGGGAGAAAGGCACGGGAGTCTGCTGAACTGCGCATGTTGGAGCAGTTCTCGGTAGGTGGTTCTTTTTTGGAGCGGATTATCGCTGGAAGGGCCGGATCGGGGACGGACACGGTACGCTTCCCAGATGTTGCAGTGGGATCGCACCCGTTTGCTCCGCCCCCGTTCCGTCCCTCTCCCGGCCCTAATCCTCTCGTGTGGACAGGGCCTAAGTAATACTGTTTAACTTGAAACCTCTGCTCTCGCACTTTACTTGAATGCTGTTCCAGCACTTTAGGATAACTAATATTTAAATTTGTTATGATGTTTTAGGAATGACTTCAAGTGTATTTATATATGCATTTTATGTAAGCTGCCCTGAGCCTGCTTCGGCAGGGAGGGCAGGGTATAAATTGAATGAATGAATAAATAAATACAATGTTTGCGCGGCCATTGGCGCCCGTCTTTCCAAACAGCAATAGTTTACTCCACATAACCAGTGTAATCCTCTGCTTTGATTACATTGACTGAAGAGTTATAGGAGTTCTATGAAGATTCTTACTCTGACATATCTTGGTATAGGCTGGTGCTGGAGATATCATGATCTCACTGTAATACCAGTGTACTGCTATACTACAGTGGTGGCAATATCTGTACAGCACTGCCAATGCAGGACCAATTTGGGTGGTGTTATGCTGTCTCTGCACAGGGTTCTTCTGTCCCCCCCACCACGGTGATGCTCAAACAAGCTATTTAACATCACACGAAAACAGTCCAAGGCATATCACAGACCCGCAGTTGAAAATTACAGAAATTGACAGTCAATCTTTGCTTACTTTGATTTGACATCTTTGGTAAAAAAGACACATTCTCTCTTCTTAAAATTGTCTTGAATGAAACGCACCAAATCCTTTAGGAGCAAGGGTTGAAAGATTTGGATGAAGTACTCTTCTCAAAATAAAGAAATAAAAGAAACAAACTAGACATTCATTTAGCAGTCGTTTCTTTGGAAAATACACACATTACTTCCAATGCACAACTAGCAAAGGTAGCCCCAATTTTAATTTTCCAGAGCACAATCAGCATAGTATTATAGCAAGAACCCTGCAGAATTGAGTGTTGCTGCCTACTCTTAAATATTCAGGCATTCATCCACAGTATGAGAACCAGTGGGGTGTATTGGTTAGAGCAGGGGTGTCAAACATGAGGCCCGGGGGCCAGAACAGGTCCATCCAGGGCTCTTACCCGACCCTCAAGCAACTGGTATGTATGGAAATGTAAGGTACTCCCCCTTTTATGGTATCCCGGGGGGGGGGAGACTAGTCTTGCATGTGATTAAATATTTATTGGGGCTTTTGTGGGTTCCCCAGTAAACCAATTGCTTTCATTGTTAGGAATCAGTTGCTTTTGTTTGTATTTTGAGTTAAAAATAATATTGTTAATTGGGTTCACCTGTGTCCTTTATATACAGTTTATATCTCCGGTACCTGGCATTACATTTTATGGCACACATGGCCCAGCCCGACAAAGTGACATTTATGTCAGATCCGGCCCTTGTAACAAATGAGTTCGACACTTCTGGGTTAGAGGATTGACCTATATTTTGGGACGTCCAGGTTCGAATTCCCACTCAGTGATGCAAGTCACTGGAGCAGTCACCATCTCTCAGCTTCACTACCTCGCAAACTTATCGTGAGGATAAAATGCGGGGGGGGGGGGTGATGATGTCGTAAGCCAGTTGGGGAGAAAAGTAGGACATAAATACCAAATACATAAATATAGGGCACTGAAGCTTATGAAGCAAGCAGCACTGCAGCCGTGGGCCCCCATTCTTGCTTTCCATAGAATCTGCTGAAGATCAGAACAGAGCACATTCATACAAATAAACAAGAGTCTTGTGACACCCTTAACCATGAATATATTTTTATTCTACCACAAGTTGCCACAGATTACAGCCCACCTCGTCATGTAGACAGAAAGACAGACATGAAATTAAAAAATGGTTGGCAGCAGGGTCAGAAGGATATGCGATGTAGGGATAACAGTAAACAACCCACAAGCAAGCACAGAATCCAGCCTCAGAGGTCCACCATCATATTAAAAAAAATGTCATCAACTTTATGTACTCTTCTGTATACATCACAGTTTCATTTACCATCATTGCAAGAGCCTGGAGGGATTTTACCAATATTTATTATTTTATTTTAAAACGTTTGTAGGCAGCCTATCCCCAAGGGGCTCAAATGCCAGCAGCAACAAATACGTTACTTTGCAAAGAATCAGATTTCACAGCTCACTTACGTTTTCATTGTAGGATAGATCTGTGCTACGAGAGATACTGGAATAAAGACTTTTTGAACTCTCCAAGGTACCGTTTCTTCGGCTTCTCATGGCGCATGTGAAATCAGAAGCAGCCCGCCTGCCCAATGAGACCAAAAAAAGGTTTGAAAGCAAGCCTGGGATCTGAACGGTCGTATTTTTTAAGCTGAAAATAAAGGGGCTCCACCAGTTACTAGGAGATAAAAAAATAAGACCAAGGCCGATGGTGCAAAATAAGGTTAAGATATATTTTATTACAGTGGCTAGGAGTGCAGACTCTAATCTGTGAGGACCGGCTTGATCCCCCACTCCTCCCCATGCAGCCAGCTGGGTGACCTTGGGTCAGCCACAAGTTCTCTCAGGGCTTTTCTCTCATGAGTAGTTCTTGAAAGAGCTCTCTCAGCCACACCCACCTCACAGGGTGTCTGTTGTGGGGAGGGGAAGGGGTTTTTAAGCCGCTCTGAGACTCTGAGTGAAGGGCGGGGTATAAATCCAATCTCCTCCTCCTCCTCCTCCTCCTCATCTTCCTCTTCCTCTTCTTCTTCTTCCCATTGCCTACCAGTTTCGTTTGAGAACCCCACTGTAGCCATCGTAAGACTTCCATTTCTCCTGTAGGACTTCCATGTCTCCTTTGGTATACCATAGAGCCTGTCCTCCAAAATGACATTTCTTCAAGCAGAACTGACCTCTGTAGTCCGAAATCAGTTGTAAATCCACACCCCACCTTTGTGTTGGTAATCCTACTGGTATGGAGTCTAACCTGGGAGAACCGGGATTGATTCCCCACTCCTCCACTTGCACCTGCTGAATGACCACCGGCAAGCCGTAGCTCTGACAAGAGCTGTCCTTGAAAAAGAGCAGCTTCTCTCAGAGCTCTCTCAGCCGCACCTACCTCACAGGGTGTCTGTCGTGGGGAGGGGGAGGGAAAGGAGATTTTAAGCCGCTCCGAGACTCCTTCGGTTAGTGAAGGGCGGGGTATGGCTTTTTTACTCTGATGGTCTGATGCATCCAAAAACAGATCTGTTTTTCTCTCTGTCTGGCAGAAGAGACCACAGATTTCTCTGCCTCTTTGCAACTAATTGTACACACCTCTGAATGCTGAAGCTCGTATCGGTCTCCTGCACCTTTATTGCACCACTTCCCAGCTTCCACAAAATGATACCACTGGGTGCCATTGCTGCAGAACGACTACTCATGCTTCAGTAGTAACACCATTAGAAGTAATTAACTTACGGTAACTATCTGCCAGTTTGTAGCCCCCCCCCCCCCCCCCCGACCCTCGTCTGCAGTCATCCCCCTGGAGCTGATACTCACGGACACCCTGCAGTTGCCGTAGCAGACGGCTGCAGCAGCATTAAAAACCCATCAGATCACAGAAGCTAAGCAGGGTCAGTACTCGGATGGAAAACTACCAAGGAAGGCTGTGCGGAGGAAGGCCACGGCAAACCACCTTTGCCCCTCCTTTGCCTTGAAAGCCCATCGCTGCGGTTGCCAGAAGTCAGTGGTGACTTATCGACACTCACTTACAGTGCTGAGGCAGACAGAGGTATTTTACCCATAAAAGCGGGACATGGAAGAACGGCTGTCAACAAGGACATGCTGTTGTTAAGGGTCGTTTTTCTTTTTTTCCAAAACTTTCCACTCAGCAAAGGCTTTTAAAGAAGATTTTAAAAGGCTTTTGATTAGCTCCCGGGGTACATTAAGGCTGCACGAAGTGGTGCATGTGCCCATCGTGTTTTGGACTACTCAGGAAGTGTACTCCAGACTTGCCGAAGCATCCTCGAAGGCCCGTGCAGGCACACATCATCTGAGGAGCGCAGCTGGAGAGAAGCCGCTCTCCCTGGTGCTGGTGAGGCATTTCATCTGCCCTGCAGGACTGAGCTCAGGCGAAGCCAGGGCTGCTAGTCCCCTGCCAGTGCCAAAGGTGTACAGTGGATGGCTGGTTCTGCACTGGCTTTTCCCTCCATTGTTTTATGACACCCACCTTGGAACAGGAATCCCCCCTCTACATTGCCTGCTGTTTTCGCTTCCTTCGATCATCGGGTTTTATGGTAGCCTCCACACTCCGTGCCGCTTTCGCTTTCTTTGATCATCGGGTTTTATGGTACCTTCTGCATAGATTCATGGCCATTCAGGGGTGACTTTGCAGTCAGTATGGCATTGCCCCGAGGGATCTGAATGTGGTTCTGAGTTGCACTTTTTCCTCCCAGTTGAGAAAATGTCGAGCGAATGCCAGATGCGGAATCGTCCAACGTTGAGCTCACAAGGAGCAAACAGTCATGTCGCCCCCTCCTTCTAAACTTAGGCCACTTCATAAGAAGCTTTTTAGACACAGGTTTGGGGGGAGAAATAAACTGGTAAAATGCTTGGGTTGCAGTATTTCTATGTATGAGGATATAGTTAAGCACAGCTCTTACCGGCAACACCTGTACATATGACAGGATAACTGGGATAACTCAGACTCCTTCCTTTTGTTAAGCAAATTAGCACTCAAAGAGACTGAGGAAATTGTCCAACCTGTTAAGCTCTTGGCTAATACTCTCAAACCTGTTTGTGCTGTAAATCTGCAGTTTCCCCACTAAAGCGTCCCTTCCAAGTTCCTTTTATTGAAGAATGAAGAAGGGAAGGTTTTTAAACCCCACTTTTCTTTACCAAATCAATAATAATAACTACTAGCACTTTATTACATCGGATTAGATGGTTCCAGGACTGTTTTAATTGTAACTTATGTTTTAATGTAACTTATCTGTTTTCTTACGTAAGCAGCCCTGAGCCAGCATTGGCTGGGAGGCCAGGGTAGAGACTTGATAAATAAGTACATAAATACCTTAAGGAGTCTCAAAGTGGCTTACAATGGCCTTCCCTTCCCCTCCCCACAACATGCACCTCATGAGGTAAGTGGGGCTGAGAGAGTTCTGAGGGAAACAGTGACCAGCCAAAGGTCACCCAGCAGGCTTCACGTGGAGGAGGAGGGGAGAATCCAACTGAGTTCTCCAGATTAGAGTCTGCCGCTCTTAACCGCCTACACCACGCTGGCTTTCGGGTCAGCCACGAAGTGTCCCGGCAGATGGAAACGTTTCTGATGCACTAAAAGGTTTCCGACATGTCACCACGGCTATGTTCAATTTGTGTCCATTTACTCTTTCGCATGACCCTTTGCCATATGAGGGCAGCAGAAGTGCATTGCTGACAAGGGATAGCCTCGTTTCATACTGAGTGATAGGCAAACCAGCCCTTCAGGGTATTGTGGATATTCATAATGTTCACAACGTGGATAAAGGGCCTTTCTGCAAACAATTGCTCCTATACCTCTGTTGGTAGGTGCACTACTGATGGAGAGTAACTGTGAGATGAAGATGCTGCCTGTAAGCAAGATCTGAGTCCAGCAGCACCTTAAAGACCAACTAAGGCCCTGTCCACATGAGGGGTTTTGGGCCGGGAGTGGGCCGGATCGGGGCTGGAGCAAACGGGCGCGATCCCACTGCAACATCTGGGCAGCGTTGCGCACCCGTCCCCAATCCGGCCCTTCCCCCGAAGAGACGCATCAAAAATGAACCACCTACCGAGGTGGTTCATCCACGACGGCCGCATCAACACCGCCCGTGGGATCGCCGGCCCGTCCTTCTGCCGGCGCATCCCCGGCTCCTGCCTGAACTGCGCGTGCTCAGACATGCGCAGTTCGGCAGTCTCCCGTTCCCCTACATCGCTTTCCGCGGCATCTGATCATGCCGGGGAGGGAATGCGCCGCAGCTCAGGGGATCAATGTGATCCCGCCGCGGCATGTTTCTTTTGGTGCAACTTTCAGAAGTCGCACTTCAGCCCGTCCCTTTCCGCCCTGTGTGGCAGGGGCCTAAGTTTCCAGGCAAGCCCAATTTCATCCGATGTCGGAAGTGAAGCAGAGTCGACCAGGCCCGTAGCCAGGATTTTTGGGGGCACTGAAATTCACCACCCCCTCCCCCGCTTCTCCCTCAAAGCATTTAAAGGGACGCTTTAAATGCTTTGGAGGAGAAGCGGGGGTTGCACACCTGCACTCCAAGCCGCAAATTCACGACTTGGAGTGCAGACACGCACGTGGTCTCCTCCCACTTCTCCCTTGGAGGTGAAGCGGGGGCACATCAAGCTGTGGATTTGTGGCTTGGAGTGCAGGCGCATGCGGCCTCCCCCCAATTCTTCCAAAAAGTCATGGGGCCTTGGGAGGAAGTTGGCAGGCCGGGCCCCAGGAGGCCCAACCATAGCTATGGGCCTCGGGCCAATTCTGTTAACTATTTGGATGGGAGATCTCCAAAGAATACCAGGGCCAGGAAGCAGAGGCTTGGCTATCAAGCCACTGAACGTCCTCCATGCCCCAGCAGGAGTTGCCAGAGGTCGCCATGACTTCCAGGCAGGGACACACATGCACATAAAATACAAAAATACCCCAGAAAAGAGAGTCACAGCTCCCTTTGTGAGGTATCTGAGAAAGGGAGCTTGGACTCTTTAAACCTTATCCCCTGGAAATTTCGGGTGTGATCACACTGGTGGTTTGGCGTGATATGGCACCTCCTCTAACTGTACCTGTTTAAAATGTTCCAGGGCATATTATCCAGAAAGCACACCCTGCTGCGGGTTACCTACGTGGCCGTCCCCTGTTCAAGCACCCACATTACTGCAGCGCCTCAGCCACGGAGTGCGCTGTCCAGTCATATATTTTTTTAAAATTCAGGTGGGCGCATATGCACTCATGCATGCACATATATGCACGTGCCCTCATGTGCATATAAGCAAAAACTCCTCCCTCCAAAAATAAATAAATCCCAGCAGCGGAAGCAGATCTGCAGGTTCAGACCACCAATCGGTTTTGTGCACGCTCCCCCATGCGGGAGACCAAAAACACCACTTGTGATGTGGTGCCTTTTTCAACCGGCTCCAAGTCATCCTGCAACAAAGTAAGTATGCCTGGGGAACGCCTGACAGATGAGGCTGTGTGACTGTGCCCATTTAATTCGGAGGGGAGGGGTGACTATGTCGGGCCAAGCTGCTCGTGTGATCACACCCAAAGTTGGTCTCGAAGGTGCTACTGGACATGAATCTAG